CATCTAGAGCGGTTTGTTAACCCATTTCCGTTTTTTTTCATCATTTTCTTCCCATCAGGATGACCAGGTAGTCATGTCCTACGCCATTATCGGAGTGCTGATGGTCATTTGCCTCCTGCTCTGTCTCATCATACCAGAGACCAAGGGCGAAGTCATGGCGGACAGCCTTATCGCAGCACCGGAAGTTGATGATAACAGCACCACCAATGATGACTACGCTGTCAAGAAATTAAGCCACGTCTTAGACATAGATAGAGTGCTAGTACTACCGCCAGACAGCGAGGACAAAATACCCGAAAAGCAAATGTCAATTATGAATGGTTGCAGTATCTCTTCAACTTCTGACGAGAGTGAAAGCGGCGTCACCGAGTGTGCAGACGACAAGATGGCGGGAAAGACAGGGGATAATAAAGATGAGGCAGCAGTGAAAGACGACTCACAGTCTGAGCCCGGAACTGTGCAGCCCATCAAAGACGTCACTTTATCCTCAGGCCAATCCAAACTCCCTGATAATGGCGGCAAAGGAGATGCAGAAAACCTAGATGGGTTTTCGGAAACACCCGTTTTAACCGAGAGGCTTTACGATGACGTCACACGCGCAGGTCATCTCAGTTCCAAGACGCCAAGCACTGAGGATTCTGTCGATATCAGAGACAGCCCGAATAGCACAAAGCTCTAACATAAAGATGCAGACCCAATAAAACTTGAGTCACTCGTTGTCAAGAGAAATCTTTACCCGAATACTAGACATACTGTAATGGGTCTCTTGAAAGGCGCAGTATTTCAGCGCTTGTGACACCGAGCTGGAAAATATAAATACGGAAAGAGCGATTTAGAAAATAAATTTCAGTCCAATTCTAAGAGACTTATAAAATCATGTAGGTGTTTTTACTTAATATTCGACACAATTCAGATCATCTAAGACCCTGCCTTTCACAGCTAACCTAGAGTGATTCTTGTCTCTTCTTCCTTCTAGTCGACTATCCCCCTCCACCCCTCCACCCCTCCACCTCTCCTCCCTCTCTCCCCGCCTTCTTCTCCGTTCTTTTTGTCAACTCTTACAGAGAGCTCATTATTTTCTTCAATACGATTCTGCGTTCCCCGTAATAGTAAATCTCCCTGTGATCTGCTTTACATTTTCTTTTCCTTCTATTTTTGTTTTTTTTGTCCCCCCCCCCCTCCCCCCAACCCTTTTAGTTCCCGCGTGTCGTTAGAGGGGAGAGAAACGACAAAGAATTCGCATGTATGCACTCAGTAATAAGGCTTGCGTCTTCCCCTTCACTTTGATTTGTCTTTGTAGTTTTTGATGATTGTGATTTTTTACCTAGCTGAAGTGATGGGAAGATGTTCCCACATTTTTCCATTCTTTTACAGAATTTGATTAACTTGCGCTTGAATACCAGGTCTTTTAATCTCTTCGTAATTTACAACTGTACAGTACATTCCCTTACAACTTCCTTGATTCCCAAAATATTGATCATGTCTATCCTTTGGAGCACTTCAGGGAAGTCGAGACCTGGAGGGAGGGAAATTGTACTTGGGCAATCTACTCCTTTTTATGGCTACCGCCCAGACAAATCTGTATAGTGTACACTGTTTTATCAATCAATAGAAGAAGAAGAAGAAGAAGAAGAAGAAGAAGAAGAAGAAGAAGAAGAAGAAGAACAAGAAGAAGGTTACACGAGACCAGGTTATTCTCACTACATGTCTTATCGAGGCATTTGCCAGTTGCATGGTTTGTGACTCTTACCCCAGAAAACCCCATTTATAGCTTTAAGAACAACCCTTGTATGATGCATATAAAAGCAAAAGCGCGTGTGCAAGTTGCGCACGTTATAGATCCCTTGGTGGTCTAAAATCAATAAGAGTAGGCTTCGGCCGCCACCCGGGCAAAATTCAAAATTTCCAACAAACTGGAGATGCTTAAAGTGCCCAGTGCGCTCATATGACCTTATGCAGTTGCGAGCCCCGTAAAACACTTACCAAAACAAAAACAAAAAAAGCAAAAGCCTTTTCAACAAGCACGAAAAAGGGAATCTTCATAGTTGCAGAGGCTTATAGATCACATCATCATCCAGTGCCAGATCTGCAACAGACATCGGCGATCATGGCTCTCCATTCATTCCTTTGCTCGGATGCTCTTAAAAAAAAGCTACGTTTCCCTGATCTGTCCCCATTAGTTTAGGTTGCCCAAGAAGATTGTTCCCTATATCGTTTTCCTTCAATTTTGCCAGTGAAAGCTAGATGTTCAAGACCCTTATGTCTATTCAGGAGTCGCAAAAAGATCACAAGTGGTCAAATAATTACGAAACGTAAACATGAGCTAAAAATACACACGTGGCAAAAATACATTATCGGAAAGCACATTTGGGTAAGACTTCACTGTACAGATGGACCCTGGAATAACAGAGACACAAAAATGTACCCACTTGCTCCCATATATTTTCAGACCCGTACCGTTCTTTAACATATTATTTTATCGTAGAAATCTCCTTAATTGATAAAAAAGAACCGGCCAGTCTGCTTATTTCTATTTTTAATGTTCGAATATCTACCGTAGAAATTCTGAGAGTATTTGAAATAATTTCTTTATTTCATAATATTTTTTCCAGCCCAGTGTCATACTGATATTTATGTATTTATTTATTTATTTATAATTTCTAAACATTGTATTTACTTACGTACTTATTTATTTATTTGTTTGTTTATTTATTTATTTTTTATTTACTTATTTATTTATTTATCTATTTATCTATTTATTTATCTATTTATTTATTTATTTGGGAAACTAGTTTTCTCTTGACAGCTATTTTTTACTAGTTGTTATTTTCAAAACAGCATATTATTATTGATTATTATAAATAGCGTTGGCCTCAGGCGTGATGCATTGTCATATTTTGTTGTTATATTCTTTTTCTTTGGTAGATATCAATGAATAATAATATATATGGCATAAAGTAGATGTACACCTAGTACCGGTGATTATGGTATTCTGTTCGTTCAGGTAAATATTTAATCAAGAATCTTATTTTTTTATACATGCCCCTAATGCCGAGAGCACATTGTTAATCTAATTCATTTGATTGTGTCGGTGCTGGTCCGATTTTTCTTCACGAAAGCCTGTTTGCTACTGACTGAAGGTGTCTTAAGGCCATTCCCAAAGGGGGAATATTAAGGTACACCAGTAGCCTACAGCAAGAAAAAGTTGATTTTGGACTATCTTAGTAGAGCAACATTTGCTTTATCGATTGGAAATATTTTCAAGTGTCTAAAGCATCTATAAAGTGCTCACATATGCCATGTTTGTGAACATTGTGCTGAAATAGACCAGTGTGAATTCGTTTTTTTTCCAGCTTTCTCAAAACTACGATTTTCTTAGGGGGCGGGCCACCTATGCAGATATATTTCTGAACGTACATGTCACAGCCCAATCCCACTTTGCATGACTGTTTATAGATAATATGTTTGCAACCTACTTAACTATTATTGTGATATTGTAATAAGTTTTCTGTCAGTGTAAAAAAGATTGACAGTATCACTCTGATTTGTGATCATTTTTTTGTCCGAGTATCATATATGACACTAGAAGGGCAGTTACTAGAAAAGTATGAGACCAAGGACAGTAAATCTTTAATACGTTGGAGGTTGTATATACGGAAACACTGTCTTAAAATATCAAGGCTGTATCAATTTTTATCTTTTTCAGAATCCCTGCATAGAATTTGCACAAATTTTGGTTTGTCGAACCCATTGCATCTGATGAATTAAGAAAATTGACTGTGAAATCATATAGGGATAGTGTGTTTCTGTTTCTTGACCCATATTGGTTATTGGGAATCCCTGTTTACTTAATTTAGAGCCAAAACAGAAATTTTCACATCAGCTGTACCTAGTGCCCCTTAACATGTTCTTAAGCACAGTACAATTGTAAACGGTCTGATTTTATCAATTTCATGCTCATACTGTGTCGGAACAACACTGGTGGAACTGCTGCTTTTTCTTTCCTCATCCTTACTATCATTATTTTCCTCTACTTCTTTTGTATGTTTGTCGCACTCTTGTGACTCGCTATTTACGTTGTGCCTTGATAGTTGAAGCAGACTTTGTGGTGTTGAGGCTAGAGAGGTGAGCAGAGTAAACCGGATTCCCTGTTTGGACTTCTCTGTTGACATTCACCCCTTGGCGCTCATATGAACTTATGCAGTTGCGAGCGCCGCAAAACCTTGCTAAAATAACAACAAAAAGAGAGTCTGCTTACTGAATGATCTAAACTATGCTGATGGTGGAAACATGTCAAATAGTGTTTGTGATAGAATATCATTTTCTTTAGATGTGTTGCCTTTTTTGTATGGTGATCGCAGATGTGACCATGATTTATGACACAGTAGGATGGTTTCTGCATTCTTCAAAGGTTTCTGACTGAAATAAAGATATATTCTAGGACATTAGTCTGGAAGGGTTGGGT